TAAACACGCAACCCCTTCTTCCAGTTGCACAAACTGTGTCCAAGACTTCCAAACACTTCAAGAATAGTTGGAAGAATATAGAAAGATAGATTACAAAAGACAACAAAATTGTTACAAAAATCCAAACTCAAGTTTAGATACTCCAAACCTTAAAGACCAATAATGCCTCAATCAAATTTTTTTCTCAAAGGTTTTGAACGAATAAGGTGATCTTTTTATTAAAAAAGATTTGCAAATGATTACTAGAATGTATTCTCAAAAAAGTATATCTTATTTGAACAAACACTTCTATTTATATAAGATTTATTGGAGAAAAAGTTGTTGCTTTTAATTGATTAAATCGTCTTTTCATTTATTAAAGTAACTAAAAACAATTAAAAATAAATTTTGTTTAAGTTGTTTTAACTTATGTAAATCTAAATTAATCGATTAAAACATCTTTTAAAATTTTCAAAAGACGATTTAATTAATCGAATAAAATAATTTTGTGATTTTTCTAGTAACAAATTAATTGATAAAAATCTGGTATTAATCGATTAAAACATATGTACTATTTTTCAGTTTCGTGTTAAAAACATTTTAACATATTAAAATTACTATTAATCGATTAAAATAACGAGCTTTGAAATCCTTTTTATATGTTAGTGATTTTAATCAATTAAAACGAAAATGAATCCATAAAAAATAAGAAACAAAAATGTCTTATTTTGTTTATGTGAAATTAATCGATTAAAACAAAAATGAATCGATTAAAAATGTGAAACAATAAGTTTTTATTTTGTTTAAGTGGATTTAATCAATTAAAATGAAAATGAATCAATTAAAATTTTGAAAGAAGAACATATTAAAGATTAAAAATCTAACCGATTAAAATTATTTTGAGACACTCTTTTCCTTTTGCATTTTGTAAGTGAGATTCTAAGATTTGAAGTAAGGATTAATGCTTACATTAACTACAGTCTACATGCAGACACACACTGAATCTTTAGATTGCAATCATCCTTTTGACTTTATCAAATCTCTTAATGATCTTTCACAATCTTCTTTATCAACCCTGTGGTATTTTCATATAAACTTCTTTATTCACGTATCCATTTAAAAAAGCATTTTGTAGATCCAATTGAATTAAATTCAATTTTTTAATGGCTACAAGAGATAAAAGAACTCCAACAGTTATGATAGTAGCAATAAGAGAGAAAGTGCTAAGAAAGTCAATACTTGCTTTTTGTGTAAAGCCATGTGCTACAAACCTAGCTTTTATTTTGGTTAAAGTACAATCAACATTATATTTTACCTTATAAATCCTCTTGCAGTTGATAGCCTTTTTGTCTTTTAAGCAAAGGAACAATATCCCATGTGTGGTTGGTATCCATGTCCTTTGATTCTCTCCATTTAGGGAATCTAGTAGTTTGATAATAATATGTTGGCTCATAAATACTGCTTATTTTTCATAATAAAATTGTGGTGTGCATTAGAGAGTTTGTCATCGAAAAGCGAGTGACATATAAAGTTTGAACACTATAGGTTAGGAATGGAAACATGATATTTATTTATATATGAAGGAGGATTTATTTGTCTAGATGATCTTCTTTAAGGATCAAAAGATTATAAATTTGAATGCTCAGTCAAATCATTATTTTCATTATGAGTAAGATTATTGTGGTTTGTGTTGTTAGTGTGATAACAAAAATTGTTTCAGTGGAAAGGTCAACTGGAGGACTAGACACATCAATATGACTAAAAGGATCATGATCTTGATGGAGCTGATGTCTAGAAGTGTTGTGTTGAATAACAAAAGGCATAATCATCCCTGGAAATTATAATTTTTCTAGTTTCAAGACTATACAACTTATAACTCCTTCTCCTAAGAGGATAACCAATGAACACAGTGGGTTCCGCTCTAGGACTGAATTTGTGTATGTCATGTTTCTGGGTATTAGCATAACAAAAAGAACCAAAGATTTTAAAGTTATTATAGTCAGGTGCAATTTTATAAAGAATTTGATAAGAGCTGCGATTTTGTAAAATAGAAGAGGGTTTTCTATTTATGATGTAAGTAGCAGTCAAAATACAATCTCTCCAAAACAAAATATAGGTACTTTAGACTAAGACAACAAAGATCTAGCTACATTTAATAAGTGATGATGCTTCCTTTCAACAATAAAAATTTGTTTTGGTGTATAAGGACATGTAAATTGATGCAAGGTTTCTTCAAAGCTAAGAAATTAGTAAGTAAAAATTTATTTGCATTATCACCTCTTAGACATTTTATAGATTTATGGAACTGAGTTCTAACAAATTGGACAAAAAATTGTATCCAAATAGAAGCTTGGTTTCTAGATTTCAATAATAATAATAAAAATCTAGGTGAATCTATTGTGATCATTGTAAGGAAAAATTTGTGATTTTAATAAGTGGTAGTACAGAAAGATCCCCAAATGTCACAATGGATTAAATCAATGTAATAAGCAAATAAGTGATTATTCCTATCAAAGGGGATACACTTTTACTTAGCTAAAGGACATATGCAACCATTTTTGCAGGAAAACCGACTAAGCAAGTTCAAATTGCGATTAACATGGATCAATCTAAGAATATCATCAAATAAGTGGCCTAATAAATAGTGTCATTTATTTATAATAGTATTCGTATGAATATTGGGAACAATATTATGAGAAGAAGATAAGAAAGAACTACAAAATTGACTGGATTTATTTTGGAAGATATAAAGGCCTTCCACATACTAGCCTTGCCCATCACCTTCAACTCTTGAGGATCCTGTATGGCAAAAGAAGAATGATAAAAAAAAAAATCTTGTATTTAGTAAACAAGTTAGATAACTTATAGAGATAAAATTGACTTTAAAGTCTGGTATAAATAAGACTTTGTGAAGAATGACATGATTATTCATTTTAACAGTGTCAATGGCTTTAAAAGCTACAACACTTTCAGTTGGTAGATAAACATATTGATCTTTTAAAGTGTTAAAGCAAACAAATTATCCAAAGAACATGTAATATGTGTAGTGGCTCCCAAATCTATTATCCAAACAGAGGAATTTCCTTTATTGAGATATGTAGTGAAGGCCAATTTTTTACCATCTTTAGGTGAATTGGAAAGGGTGGGTTGGTGGGATGTTCAAATAGGTGCTACTTAATTCTCAAGAAGAGCTATGAATTGATAATATTAAGTCTTGGTCAGTTGCATTGAGCTTTCTTCTACATTGAAATCAAGGACACGGTTGGACTTGTATCCGAGAGGATATCCATGTTTCTTGTAGCATTTGTTACCAGTATGACCAAACATTTTACAGTAACTACACTTAGGTCTTTCTTTTTTGGTAGGACCAAATTGTTGTAATTTGAGTTGGGAGTGAGGAACAACAAAAGTAATGGGTGCTGGTTGTTGTGTTAGAATGTGAACTTCTTGTCTTTTTCTTCTTGAACCACTAGAGAAACAACACGACTAATATGAGAATTATTATCATTTAAACCCATTAAAAAATACATCATAGGCTCAAAATATAGATTGAAAATCACTCTATTCTTCCCAAAGACTCTTTATCATAGCAAAATATTGACTCACATTCATAGATCCTTGTTGACAAGAAAAAATAGTTTTCTTCAACTGAAAAAATCAAGGACCATTGTGTTATTAGTATCTAAAATATAAATCATCCATAAGACCACAACAGTAGAATAGTAAATAAAGATCGTGGTTATATCTTTGGTAAATAATTGAGAAGTTAAGATCTTATTATGCTATAATTTCTTTTTCATAAAGATAGCTTTGTTGGATTAGTGTGTTTGGGAAGGGAACCATTGATAAAGAAAGCCCATCTTGTTTTCTGATTTAAGAGCGATAGCAAAAACATGTCTCCAAGATCTAAAATTGTGATCACTTAGAGGGCTAGAAACAAGACTTTGACTAGGATAATCAGCATTTAGAGGGGGTAGAAACAAGATTTTGACTAGGAAGAGAAGATCATGTAGATCCAACGGAATGGAAGCAATAGAAACCATGATGAATAAAAGAGAAAAAAGGATGAAAGAACCTGGAAAAAAAAGTTAAAAGATAAAAAAGATATTTGAACAAACTAGTACCATAGTCTAGTTATATAAAAAATTATAAAAAAAGAAAAGAAAAGAAAAAGATAGAGAGAATAAGGAAGACGAAAAAAATATATTCATGCAAAAATGTAAAAAGGAGAGGAAAGTATAAAAGTTTAGAAACTCGTAAAAAACTGGAAAACATGTAAAAAAATACAACTAAAAAAGCTAAGAAAAATAACTAGTGAAGTATACGACGAAGAGATATCTCTAATAAGTATATTGAAATAGATATAATCTTTTCCTAAAATACTTTTTAAATTAAAATTAATAGATAAACATTTTAATTATTTAATTTTTAAAATAATTTTGTAATTAATTATTAAAATAATTTTGAAAAATAAAAAATAAAACAAATATTCAATTTTTTCTTTTCTGAATTATAACGCTTTCCGTTGGGACAAAGGAAGAAAATAATTAGATATATTCTAAATTAATAAAAAAACTAATATATTAATTAATTAATAATAATAATAATAATAATAATAAATCATGAATGTTTCTAGAGATAGGGAGCAGGATCTTAGCAATATTTCCACAAAGACATCTGCATGTTTGCCGTACTTGTCACTTTCTAAAACCATTCACAAAAAGCCGTCATCAATTGACTAGTTTTGAAGAATAGCTAACAGTATTTAAAACAATAACATAAATATTTGTCACATCATTTTCATAATAAAAATAATAATAATAGGTGTTTAAAAGTTAATTACTATTATTTTGAAAGAAATTATTTTAAATAAATACATTTAATAGATGTTTAAAAATGTCATAAAATGTTAATATTGTTTAGAATTTAACACAAATACTAAAGATAATTAAAAATTGAAATATTTTAAATAGTTGGGATTAAATTATAGAAGAGTGACAAGTTGAGAGAAAAACAATACAATGAAGACTGATATGTTATACTATAAAACAGTGGGTGGGGATGGGGGCTCTGAGATAAGTGGTAATATTGAGTCAAAACTCTGACTCTGACTCTGACTCTGACTCACCAATCATGTCACGTGGAACCAAACTCGGAATTCTCTACGTGATGGAAACTTCACAGAAAATATAAATTCGTAACTCATTATATCACCACCATTGCCGCCGAATGCAAGTGTGATTATATACTCATTTAGTAATTTATTATACAAATGCAAGTCTGCGCAAAACATTTTTTTTTCTAAGTCAATTTTCAATTAACATCATAAAGAAAATTCCAGCTACCTACCCTCTTTTTTCAGATTTATGACCAATTTTGCAACTATATATACAAGCCTTGCCTTGCTTCCCAAGCACAGTTCTGCATTCACTTCAGCATTTCATTTTGCAAGACTATTCTTTCTTTCCTTCAGATATCGTGCTAAAGCAACTCCATGTAAGTACTACCTTAGATTTTATCGTCTTAAATTCTTCAACAATTAAATCAATTGTGACATGCAAATTAACCAGTTAATTTCCTTGAAGCTAGCTTGACAGGAAACATCTATCAACTATGGCAACCAATATTGGTGGAGACTCGGGGAAAGAGATGAAAGGGTGGAGAAAAGGTTTGAAACGTGTAGGGAATTGGATGGCGCACAAGGACAAGGATAAGTGGTTGAAGGACATGAGGGGAATGCTGAGTTTGATGGCGACAGTAATCGCAACAATGACCTTTCAAAGTGGTATTAATCCACCAGGTGGGGTTTTGCCTGCAAAAGACAGTGGAGTCGACTGCCAAAATGATTCATGTCCTGGACAATCTGTTCTTGCTCTGGTTTATACACAAGATTTTAAATATTTCCTTTACTTCAACACGATATGTTTCGTTTCATCTTCAGCTGTTTGTCTCTTGCTCGTGAGTGGATTTCCTCTGAAAAACCGGTTTTTCACCTGGCTCATGTCTATAGGGATGTGCATCATCCTCAGCACCCTCTCTCTAACCTACTTGTTCGGTGCACAAATGATTGTCCCTGATCTGCTTTGGGATGACATAACAACCATGTTCGGAAAGGTTATTATAGTGTGGTTGGTACTGTTGGTACTCATCGCAGTCTTCCTTTCCCTGCGCCTCATTTTTTGGTTTGTCACTAAATGCATGTTCGGACAAAGTAAAGTCCTACAAAATCCAACCATCTAGTTATCCTCGTGCATAGCAAGTAAAACTTCTTCTATGCACTGGTTTAGGTTGTTGCGTAATGTTAGTAAATAATCAAACATGCATGTATGCATGTCTTTCAATGTACACGTCATTGTACACGTCATTGTACGTAGGTTTCATTTTTCAACTATCAAAGTGTTATTGTCTAGTGGTTTGCTATAACTTTCTTGTCTTTTTTTCACAGCCACCTTCACCTGTCTGCAGTATATACTATGAGAGTCAGAGGGGATGGGCTCTTATGTAGATGTGACTTTGTGAACAAAGGTTTTATTGCAAAAGTTGGAATTTAAAAGTTGCAACTTGAATTCTGGAAAATCATTTTTTTTATGGTCAACTTAAACTAATACAATGTCTAGTACGTTACAAATTATAAAATAACATATCCGACACATCTTTCCATTAAATTTCTTATTTATCCCATTCACATGCTCGCCACTCTCTAATATTGTCAGACTTATAATTTAATGTCAGACTTATAATGAAGAGATATGCTCAAATACTGTGTTAATTTTCTTGAGACATTTGCTGTTGACTTGATACAATTATATTGTTTTTTTTTTTTTTTTGCAACATAAAAATGTGGGACGATATTTTATCTTAATGTAAAATATATTTTTCTTAATGGTTATTCAGGAAAATATATTTGTTGAGTAACCTAAATGTTTTCGAATTAAAAGGATAAGAAGACAAGCTTCTTATTTGTTGATAAAAGTCTGGTATGATTTGAAACAAGTTTCAACGATGTGGAATAAAAAGATTAAAAAGCATGTGCTAAGTCATGGTTTTTCAAAACGTCTTAGTGAGTCAACTCTCTGGTGTAGTGCTTGTGTTAAGAAATATTAATATTAATTGTTTCTCTACACATGATGATCGACGTGTGAGAAGAAGAAATATTGCATTTGTTGAATTTCTTTCTTATCATGGAAGTTAATCAAGATGAAATAATTTTTTTTATTAACCAAAATAAATATGCAAAAGAAATAATGGAAAACTCTAAATCTATAACCACTCCAATGTTTCAAAAGGGGAATCTTTTCTACAAAGAAAATATGGTGTTGAAACAGTTAATGAGACTGATTTTATAAATAAATATAACAACCTAATATATTATGCAACAACCTAATTATAACTTGTGAGTATTATACTGGTCAAAGTAAAATACATTTCACGTGTTAGGCATGTGTGTCAAAAGAACGCCTGATTATGGATTTAGTATATAATTAAGAATCTAAATTTTTTGAAATTGATTGTGAAGGTTCATGTGTTTATCTGAAAAACACTTATAGTTTTATATTTAGTTACAAAGTGTTTGCATAGGCTTCAAATAAGTTAGATTATTTTAATTTAATATTGACTCTTTTAATTTATAAAATTATTTTAATGTAAAGATTTCTAATATAATAATTATTATATTATAAATATTTTAAAGTTATGAAAATTATTTTAAATTTATTAAAATCAATTCTCTATCTTTTAATTTCATATTATGGCACTTTAATAAATATTTTAAAATATTACCTATAAATTACATTTAAAAAGTCATCTCATAAGATAAGAAGATAAAATATCCATTAAAAAATCTATTATAATGAATCCAAATAAGTTCTTAAAAACTTCTAAATAATAATATATTTGTAATAATATATTTGTAAGAATCATAAATCCTAATATTTCTATAAAATATAAAAATTTCTTAAATTGAATTAGAATATTTAAAATTACACGTTATAAAATATAATTTTTTCTAAATTGAATTAGAATATTTAAAATTACACGTTAATAATTATGATACAACTAACTTCAAAGTTAGAGTTCATAGTTAGTGCAGGAGATATTAATGAAGTCTTATTATAGACAATTTTTAATTGATCTACAAGTAGTCAGGACATGATGAATTAAAGTGTTGGAATATAACTAAGTTGAAGTTTTAAGTTTTATTATAATATTGTAAGTCTTATTATAGACAAATTTTAATTGATCTACAAGTAGTTAGAACATGATGAATTAAAGTGTTCGAATATAACTAAATTGAAGTTTTATTATAATATTGTAAGATGAAACACAAATTACTAAATAATTTTTAAAGGTACTTGCAAGACATAGAAATTTATATTAATAACTACCAAAAGGTGTTTTGAAAATATAAAATAATATTTATTATTAAAATTTATACCATTTATTTAATTATATCAAAATTTGTACTATTATAAATTTTAGTTATACTGTAAAAAAAATGTTTTTTATAGGTAGTTTTATCGTATGAAAATGAGTATATACAGTTTCCAACACTCACTATAAGAAAAAACGCTATTAGCGACCGAAAAAATCAATCGCTAATGGCCAAAATTCGGTCGCTATTACTGTTAGCGACCGAAATGGTTGGTCGCAAAAGGGCAAGTCGCTAATTTGTTAGCGACCGATTTACATTTCGGTCGCTAAAGAGCGACCGATGAGGTGGTCGCTAAAGTGATCGCTAAATAATTTGGTCACTTATTCATTGAAGACCAAAATAGCGATCGAAATTAATATAATAAATCGGTCGCTAAATCCGTGGTAAAGTTTTAAAAATAGCGACCGATATATTCGGTCGCTAATATATTAATATAATTATTTAAATAAAAATTAAAATCGATCGCTAAATCGGTCGTTAAATTGGCGACAAAGTTAACAATAATAGCGACGGATATAATCGGTCGCTAATATATTAATTGAATTATTTAACTAATAATTAAATCGGTCGCTAAATTTGAATTGTATATTATAATAAATTTGTAGCGACCAAAAATTCGGTCGCTAATCTAACCAAATCTGAAAATTTTCGTTTAAAATTTTGTATATCCAATTTGACAAAATTTGTATCTGCTTAATTCATTCAAACATAACACAAATGAAAACTTAAGAACTAAAGTCAAATTATTCAAATCATAAAATTTGTACCTACTTAATTCATCCAAACATAACACAAATGAAAACTTAAGAACTAAAGTCAAATTTTGTATATCCAATTTTACAAAATTTGTACCTGCTTAATTCATCCAAACATAACACAAATGAAACTTAAGAACTTAACAACTAATCAAGATTCAAAGTCTTAATATCATAAAATTGAAAATTAGTCCTCTGGTATATTATCAGTGTCATGTTGACTTGTAGTAGGATGACTATTCATTTGAATATGTTGTAAAATAAGCTTCATCTGCTCATCTTGTTGGCGTTGGTTGTTCCTCAACTCCTGCATCTCTTCTTCAAGTGTCTTCTCCTTATTATGCTTTGCCACCAATTCAGCATTTAACTTTTCAATAGTCTCACGCATTTGTTCAATTTGATGAAGTACTGGAGTTTGAGTAATAGAAGATTGAGAACCTGATGTAGTAGTGAACTTTTTGCTCAATGTACCAAGTCCATACACATTTCCTTTTTTATTTTCACCTCCAATAACTGAAATGTATATTTGATTATCATCAACAGAGACAATAGGAGACTCTTGTGAAGATGAGCCTTCACGCAAGTTATGTTGATGGACTTCTTCTCTGCGCTGCATATATTGTTCCTAAAAATGAAGTGAAATATAATTATTATGAAGAAAACATATATTAAATAATAAATTATAACTTAGATGTTAAACATACAACAAGATAACGAGTTTTTTCATTGACCCATTGTCCAGTCTTTAATTTCTTTGTCCTCTCAACAACCTCCCAAACGGTTGGTTCCCGTTGAAACTCCGTAGTCTACACATTAAAATGAGACAAAATGCATTACCTAAAGTGTAATATATTGTATTAAATTACTTATATAAAAATATAATAAACTTACCATCTTCTCAAAGTGAGCTGCAGTAGATATGGAACCCCCACAGTAAGATGAGGCACCCTTATCAACAGCTCGATTAGCCTTGGCAATGGCACTCTTGTTTTGGAAATCTGGAGAACTCCAATGTAAGTCCAAAGATGCTCGAACAGTTGGCGGTATCCAGATTCCCGTATCCTTACCATTCCTAACTTTGTTCATTGAGTTTTTTAAAATTCGAGAACCTTTCTTATCAAAAACAGATCTTATGCCTTGCTCTTGTTCCACATCCCATATATACTCTTTACGCATAAATAAAATACATAACAAACATTTAATTTATAAGAATGAAATGACATTGTTTAATGTAACTATAATTCAAATTACCTTGAACTCTCCAAACCATCTATCTCGAAGCTCAAGTGAAACCTTTCTCCAAGTGGGACTTGGTTCATCAAATTTTTGTTTGATGATTCTAGAGATTATAGCAGGAGGACCATTTGCTTGGTATAAACCTGTGTTGAAACATATTGTGGGATTGATATTATTAAGAAATTTCATATTAAAGAATTATAATTAAATTAAAACATACTTACTCTCCTTTGTCTCGCTTGTAACCATGGCCTTTGATCAACCATATTTCCGGACTCAACCTCGGTTGCGACCGACCCATGTACCTATGTAGGTTGACCAAATGTCGCCTCGGTAGAGAAGGTAGTAGGAATTGTTTCTCCTACTATAGCTACAGGAGATTCTCGCTGAGTTGAGGGAGGTGTGCGTTCTACAAACATAGGATTAGTAGACTCCATGGATCTTGGTCGAACGGAACTAGGAGAGTTAGGGTCGGGTGAACCTCTATCATCAACAAGTACACCTCGACCACCACGATGAGGTGGTCTACGACCATCACTTCTACCCCTTTGTGGCATCTATAAGTGGATCGTATTACATATGTAACATATATAAAATTAAACAATTGAAACAATGAATTACCCGATTGTGTTTTCTACACCCAAACGTGTCGGTTAGCTTACCACTCATTCACTCGCAAATAATTAAATCATTAATCATATCAATATATATATATATATATATATATATATATATATATATATGTATATATATGCAATATTAAATAAAGGTGTACAATCAAATTTAACAATTGTAAAAATAATTTTAATGCATGAATT